TTCCTGACTTCAGGCCCAGCACTCCATCTGATGCACCACCTAGCTGCCACTAGCTAAGTTTTAGGAGTAATGTCAAGATGTATGTTCTAGTTATTTCATATGCATAGATTACAGGACCATAGATTTAAAGTTAGAAGAGACTTTAAAGGACATCCAATGCCAAAACTTCTCATTTCAGAGAAAAAGAAACTGAAGATCATTGAGTTTGTTTAAAAGACTTGCCCAAAGTCAAAAAGGCAGTAGGTAATGCCCAGATATGAACTTGGGTCTTCTAAATCCAGGGCACTCAGTACTACAACTATCCAGGAGGCAAAGTTGGGAATAAAGACACTTACTTTAGAAGTCACTTGCACAGATGATAAATGAGGCTAAAGGATAAATGATGATAAATGATAAATAAATAGGACAGTATCACCTATGGAGAAAAGATAAAGAAAAGTTCCAAGATCAGCGCATTTGGGAAACACATTCTCCAAGAAACCACAAAGGGTAAGGAAACTCAGGCGAGGAGGTCATGCTCTAGAAGCTACGGAAGGTAAGGATTTCAAAGTGGTAGTGTCACAATGCTGAAAAAAGGTTAAGGATAAGAATAAGAAAATGTGGGATTTAGCTATTAGATTACTAGTGATTTGGCAAAAGCACTTTGTAAAAGACAAGTGCCAGAATGCATGTAGTTGAGAAGTAATTTGACAATTAGGAAGAAAATACAAACTATAAATTTCTCAGTTTATCAATTTATAAATCAGAGTTTATCACTAAAAGAGGGAATATGAGATGACAGCTGTAGAGAATAAGTATCAAAAGAAAACTTTTTTTAAAAATAAGGTAGACATGTACAAGTTTGCAAGTACGTGCGGAAAATTAGGTGCAAAAATGAATGTAAGAGTAGAGATGAGTAATGGAATTAGATCCCCAAAGGGGCAAAAATCTATCATTTCATTTTTAAACCTGAAGGAAGAAGTTTGGCATGTATTTTAAAGTTTCAGAGATGAAGGAACTCATATCAGATGCCCTCGATCTCTTCTAGCAAGATAGAAGATGAGATCATTTGATAAGATAGTAAAAACTAAGTTATAGGTAGGTCTGGTCTGAAATAACTTAAAATAGCAAGACATGATACACATTCCACTTGAGAATAAAAACACAAAATATTAATATATCCAACTCTCAATTATTGACAGGTATCCAGAATCAAAATTTTAAAACAAATCTTCATTTTAGACATTAGTTTCAACTAACCTCCTCCTCTCATCTAAATAGAATTAAAATTATTCTTTAGAACATGTAGCAAAATTGATATTAATTTTGTAGGTAGCATATGAAAAAATTCTTTTGTTATCAAATTTCTCAGAGAGCAGTTTTGGTAGAACTAAGATATGTGTCTCATGAGTCTTAGTGCAGCTTTATGCAAATAAACCTTAAAATAAAGCTTTAAATAAAGTCTGAGACACTATTATAGACAAGGTACACCTACTAGCAAAACACATTCCCCAATAGATGAATGACCCAAGAATATGAAGTTTTCAAAAGAAATTTCAAATGACTTAACAAGGCTCCAAATCAATCAAGAGAAAAATGCTAATCAAAACAATGCTAAGGTTTTATCGCATACCCAGCAAATTGGCCAAGAGATAAAATACTGGAATAATCACTATTGCCAGAATCATAGAAAAACAGCACATGAATGCATTGTTGGGGGAAACTGGGAATCAGCTTTTGGATAACAAAAAGTTACTCAAGTGCCTATATTCTTTGACCCAACTAAAATCCCATTTTCTACAGGAAACCTTTTCTAATACCCCTTAATTCTAATATCTTCACTCTGTTGATTATTTCCTATTTATTCTGCATATACCTTGTTTTTAAGTATCTGTATGCTTGTTGCCTCCCCCAACAGATTGTGTGAGCTTCTTCATAGCTGGGATTATCTTCTTTTGCCTTTCTTCATATACCCATAACTTAACACAGTACTTGGCACATAGCAGGAGCTTAATAAATGCTTACTGACAGACTGAGATTCCACTACTAAGCTTAAACGCCAAGGAGGTCATTGGGAACAAAATCATCACATCCAACAAAGTATTTCTAAGCAACATTTTTTTTGTGGTAGCAAAGAATTGGAAGCAAAGCAGATACCGATTGGGGAATAGCTAAATAATTTATGGTACATGAATTTAATGATTATGAGATATGAAATGAGGAATATGAAGAATACAGAGAAGCATGGAAAAAACTGATGCAGACTGAAATAAGCAGAGCCAAGAAAGCAATACACACAATGTCAATGTAATACATATCGATGTAAACAGGAAGAACTACCACAAATCAAAAATGAATGTTGCACGTATAATTGAATCACACATTTCTTGTCTTCATAATGGGTGAGGGAAGGGTTGGAGGGAGGGAATTCTAAACTTGATTTTTAAAATAAATGTTAAAAAATAATAAAAATTTTTAAATTTTGAGGAATGTTTCAAAATTACAAAGAAGCATTCCCCAAAATAGAGATATGAGAGAATATCCCTGCCCTACTACTCTGAAGAGGTAGAAGGTCCATAGCTGTGGTATATTATATATGTTTTCAGATTTTTTCAATGAATAGATAAATTTTGCTGATTTATTTTTTCTCCCTTCTTTTCTTTAAAAAAATATTATATAGAATGTTGGTTCTCTGGGAGGGGGAAAGAAGGGATATTAGGAGAAATTTTGGCAATGTAAAAGATACAAATGAAATTTTTTTTAGAGAAATCTTAATTTTTAAAATCACACATCCTACCCCTGTACCAGTGAGTTAAAATGTTCATTAAAAATGCTAAAGGATAATAAATGTTAAAGAGCTAGAGAGTAGGCCAATATACATGTGCTATTTTGGGCCAGATGACATTAAAATAAAAAATACATAAGAGTTGTTTTACATAATAGTGACTAGTTGAACTAAGCCACAGACACTTGCCCAATCCCCAAATGAGAAGAAAGTAATGTTATTTGTGAAATGGCTGAGTAAAGACCTAAGTTCAGCAGCACAGTTAAAAGACTGATCAGCCCTTACAAAGGTCAAACTCCCAGAGTTAAAATGACCTTGTAGGCCATCTGGCCCAATCTGAAATGCATATCCCTTCCTTTATCACCACCAAGTGGTTAGGTATAACACAGCCTTTTCCTTAACACCTCCAATATCACACTATGAGGTCCAAATCTGTTAACTTCTTGCCTATTTCTACTGTCCTCTGGAAGTACTCTAGGTTACTATCTCCTAAAAAATATAGGTGTCAAATTGAGCACAATATTCCTGATGCAGTCTAACAAAGAATACAAACTGATTATTTCCCTTTACTTCTAGGAGTGACTAGCAGCTCTGAGCTCAATTTCAGACTTTCCTAATTGATAAAGAGGTATCTGAAAACATTATAGGTAGCCTTTAAGGAAGAGTTCCTTAGTATTAAATATTTCCAGGCTAGAAACAAAGCCACTACTTATGGATGTTGAAGGGGTTCATACATTAGCTAATGTGTGGTCAGACTAGATTAACTGCCTCTTCCATCTCTGAGAGTATGAAAAGAAAACTATTCTACTCTACCACTCTGCCCAGGCATCTCACAAATGCATGTATTTTGTCATGAAAGGACAGAAATACAACAGTGAATCTACCACTTACAGAACAGAATACATTTAAAGGAAGATAAGCTAGTGGACAACCAAGACAGAGAAGCCTCATGAGGATATAAAATAATGAGAAGAATTTCCACAGCCACACATATAAATCAGTCTCACTTTGTAGTTCTTTAAACTTTTCTCTAATAAGTTAACTGGCCCACAGAAAAGAAAAAAAAATCTATCTTAGATCAGTAGCTCCACGGTCTCTAATCAAGATACCTGGTACCTGACCCAAATACTTAAAATATTTTTCCTAACCAATCCAAATATGATTAGAGAATACTTTATTAACCACTGGGACTAGTGGATATACTAATACCTCTTCCACCTGCTAAAAAGAGAAAAACTAAATTAACTCAACCTACCCTATCCAGTAAGATTATATTATTGGCATTCATTTACATTCAGTCACTATTGCAGAACTTACTTGAAATATTTGTTTTACAATTTCCTATTTTTATGGAACACAAAAAACTTCAAGCATAAACATTTTTCAACTAGCACAACTTTAAATTTCACAGACAAACTTATACCTGGAGTCAATTAAGGAAACAAAGACAAAATCTAGACCTCCTTAAAAAGGGTTCTTAATCTGTGGGCCATTAACTTTTTAAACAATATTTTTATAACGTTTCAATATAGTTTCCTTTGTAGTCCCATCTTTCTACTTTATTTGCATTCACTATTATAAGGAATCTATAGGCTTCACTAGTCTGCCAAAGAAATCAATAATACAAAAATGGTTAAAAAATCCTTGCTCTAAAGAAAGTCATTCCAGTTAATATCTGAAATGGAATGAACTAAATTCTTTAACATTTTGGCAAACCTTCACAGATCTTCGGGGAAAGAAACCTCAGTATATAAATATAAGGTGGTATGTTGATATATAACAGATCACCCCAACAGCTTAAATAACTTAAAATTATTTTTAGGAATATTTTCACATAAACACTCACATAAGGAACTTTAACCAATCCACAAAAACAGATTCCCAACAATCTCAACCTTCCACTATCATTAGTAATGAACCCAGTCTTGGAAAAATCAAGCCATTCATATGTCTTAAGAATTTGCTTTCTATTGCATTCTATTCCAGTACAAAGATTCTTTTTGTACCTTTCATTAATTGAAATTTAAATTCAAATCTCTATATTCTTAAGAGCTTTACTTTCAATTTTCACTGAATGGCCATTTCATGGAGACAACTAGAGGTTCTGTTTATTTTATTAATTAAGACATTTGTTATGGGGGCCAGCACAGTTAGTAGAACAGGTGTGGACTGATCATCAGGCGATCTAGGTTAGTCAACTCTACAATTAAATGTCCATGAGTGCTATTTTACTGACCTGAGCCTGTTTCCTTCTCTGCAAACAGAGGGGGTTACCCTAACTCTCAAATGTCTCTTGAAGCTCTTAACTCCTAGGATTCCATGCCCACATAGGACTATAAGAAAACACATCAACCTGAGTAAAAGAACGTAAAAATTAAAGACAATAATTATAAAGTAATTCTAGTTTAAACTGAAGTGCTTTACATTAGTACATTAGTTTAAATTATCTAGCTTTCTGATAACATTCAACATTTATTAAATGACTCATGATTTGAGGGAACAACAAGAGACATAATCTCTGCCCTGAAGGTGCTGATTAGTAGGGGCTCTAAGAAAAATATACACCAAAAATTTTAATACAAATTCGAATGCTTTAAAGTAACCTAATGAAAACTGCAAAAAGCTAGAGGATCAAATGAGATAGAAATGACTTCCAGCTAATCCCATCAGGGAAAATTCCTTTAAGAATGGGCAGGCAGGACAAACCAAGGCAAGCCAGACCAGGAATACCCCAAAGTCCCAAGTTACATCATTTGCTGTTTGCTCATTGTGCTCAAATTCACTAACTTCATGTTATTTATGTGTATACCCACTCTTCTATGTAAATCAGAATGTTTCCCAACTCTCTCTAAAGAACACAAAAAAGAGGGGCAGCTAGGTTGCACAGTGGATAGAGCTACAGCCCTGAAGTCAGGAGGACCTGAGTTCATATCTGGTCTCAGACACACAACACAGAACCACCTACTAGCTGTCTGACCCTGGGCAAGTCACTTAACCCCAACTGCCAAGCAAAAAAAAAAAAATACAAAAAAGAACCATTTATTAAAAGTTATTACAATTTTATAATAAAGCCAATTATTTTGTTGATCATTCAAAGCAATTAACCTGAAATTTTAAAATGGTTGAAGAAATAAAAATTTCATATTGACATAAGTAAAACCATAAAGGCAAATCTACTACAAAAAAAATTATTCATTCCAAATAAACAGCTAGGCTCAGAGATTCCCAAAATGGGTGATACAGTCCTCCATAGGCGGGCACTGGTACAATTCAGGAGGAGGCATTAGCCATGGATGCAATGGGGGGAATAAAAATAAGTGGGTAGGTAAAGCATTAAGGAAAGAGAAGAAAATTTTGAAAAACTGTTTGTATATGTTTCATCTGTTGTGTAACAGAATTGAATTTGTAGTGATTACATTATTTTCCAAAAAACCACACAAAATGCAAGTTTGTAACTGATCAGTGGTCAAGTCCATGGCTGACAGATCTTAACAAGCAAGTATTGGCAGGCCAGCCTGAGGGGCACTGTCAGTAAGTTTAGCATGCGTAAGAAGGAATATGTGTGTGTAATGACTTGTTTACAATATGATGCTATAGAAAGCAATATTGTGTCATCAAAATTTCAATGAAGGAAAAAATCCACAAATTTACAATAAATTATTAAATTTAAGATGCATCTTTTTAAAAAAATTTTTTTGAAATATATATTTCAATAAAAACTGTTAAATAGTTAAAGAAAGAAGAATTCCAGGGAGGTTGAGAAACTTTTTTTTAAAAAGGAGGCAGTAAGCCAAATAAGTTTGGGAAACTGAGCTGGGTGGCATAGTGCAAGACAGAGAGACTTGGGAGTCAGGAAGACCTGGTTTTAAATCTCACTTCAGAAAATAGCTATTTGATGGGCAAGTCACAACCTCGGAAGCTCAGTTTCTTCATCTGTAAAACAGGAATATCAACAACCCTATTTCACAGGGTTCTTGTGAAGTTCAAATGAGACACCCTATATAAAGCACTACGCAAATCTTAAATGTTAGTTACTATAATTAATATTTCTGTATATCGATGCCACCACCACCATCAATAAGATAAAGCTGATCATAGAAAAGGCACTAAAATAAAAATAAACTTCCATCCCTCTTTCAAAGATCTACTAGATAGCTATTCATTTGTGTTCAGTGTCACAAATAATGTCCATCTGTCCTTCCCTTCCCCTAAGTTTTTAAGCAACTATAAGATGAAAAACACATGGGGAAAATATCTGAACACTACCCACTTTGAAGTAGTTATGATCCAGTGTTACATCAAAAAAAGGTGCTGAAAAGGAACAAGGTGTGAAGCATAGTTCTGTATCTATAATTTTTATATTAACAGGTTCACCTACTGAGAAGAGTTTATTATTAAATCTAATATTTTAAGAAGTATTTATGTGCCTTTTCATTTCAAAGAAAGGACAAGAAAATCAAACAAGTTATTAGCCTTACCTTCTTTAAAAATGGCTTAAATGACTTTGGAAGCTATATTTCAACAAGCCTGTTTTTTCCATTTTAATGCAATTATACATCCCTCCATTCTCAGAAATACTACACTTTAATATGAAATTCCATGGCTTTGGATTGGATGTGATCAACTTTTCTTGAGCATTTGGTGTTTACTGCATATTTATGCAATAACCTGCAAAACTGATGCAGCGCCCCTAGCGAGAGTCCTATAAAGCCCGATTAAACAAAATTCCACGGGTTCCCAAAATACATTATCGTGAGGTACAATATTAACTTTTGTCACTCAACTACTTCATAATCTGCAAATCTTAATTTTAAGGAAAAGAAAAGTTTCATTTGCAACGACAAATTACAACCATTAAATTCTAATTCTCATTTAACTAAGAATCAATACCAAAAAAATATCTAACATCAAATCCCGAAGACTTTGGAAATCAAGGCAAATAAGGGTCATTAGTCTGTTCAGCATTTAAACGCACTAGGACTGAAACAACAGTTAAGCTCTCGGTACCCAATCTCAAAGCTTTACGAAGCATCCCACCACCCACTGGACGATAAGACATCCATTTTTTAAATAAACTGGACACCAGATAAAAGAATAGTTTTCAATTTTCCCGTCTCTCCGTGCCGCCTCCGCCAGAAGCGGGCGGGAGGGATGCCTCGGACATCTCCGCATCGCATCTTCGGCCGGCTCGGGCTCCCACTCGCAGACTCTAGGGGGCACCAGCAAAGTGCCCTCCCGGCGCCCCCCCCCCCCCCCCCCCCCCCGGTAACGTGAGCAGCTGCAGCCCGTCGTCGGGGAGCTCGGGCTGCGATCGCGGCAGGAGCCGCGTCTCCTGCGGCCGCGGCACAGCGCCCACCCCCGCCGCCCTCCCAGCCAGTCCCTGGGTCTTCGCCCCGGGGGCAGCTGCCACCCGAGCAATGGCTCCTCCTCCTCAAGACAACAGAGGCCCGCGGCGAATCCCAGAGGTTTAACACTCCCCCCCCCTCACCCCGAGGCTAGGCCCGCTAAAGGAGACAAATAATGAGAAAAGGACTCACAATGGGGGACTCTCCTCCGTAGTTTCGGCCAATGCTGCACCAGATGGGGCTGGAAAGGATTCTTGGTCCTAGGAAAATAGAGAAAAGATTTGAACGAGAATCAAGTGGACCCAATGAGGCCGCGTCCCAGGCCCGCGTCCCCCAGCCCCGGAGAAGGGGGTGGAGGAGATCGGGCCTTATTTCTTCCCCTCACAGCGTTGCACCAGGACCGTGTCTAGAGAGGCGACGTCGGCCAGCACGCATCCGCGCCCTCTCCTCAGGGAGGGGGAAAAGAGAGCCTCGACGCCAGGAGGAACAGGACGTTCCTTCTGAAGGGGGCCCGGCCGGCCTCCTCTTCCACGAATTCAGACGTCCGCACCGCACTCCCGGACAGATCACGTCAACGCCGGGCCGCGATCTCCCCATCTGCCCCCAGCAGTTGCCCCGGGCCCGGGGTTGGCCCCCCCCTGCAGTCAGCGGCCGGCAGCGCTGCCTCCCCGTCCGCCATTAGAGACCCAGGCAAACAATACGGGAGACGCAGGAGCGTCGCAGGGCAGCGCCTGGGACGGCGGGGGGCCGACGACCGGGCTGGCTCTCCGGGGGCAGAGGGGGCAGCCCCCAATAACTCGGGAAAAACAGCGGCGGTGATAGCCCGCCCAAGGCGGGGGGGCACTCCGAATCTTCACCGCCGCCGCCCCCCTCCAGCTCCCCCAGCGGCGCCTCCCCCCCTCAGAAACAGAGACGGAAAAGAAAAATACCCCGGCCTCCGAACTCCCCGACTGCCAAGCCCGCGGGGCTGCCCCCTCCGCGGCCTCGTCTCCCCGCCGGCGCCCCGGCCCTGCCCCTTGCTCCACCTCACGGCCAGTCGAGCCGGGCCGTGCTGCGCCGAAAAGGGCCTCGGACCCGAGGGGAAGGAGGGAGCCCGGGGCAGCCCCCCAGGCCCTGCGCGGCCGCTGCGCCGCACTACGGGGTAACAAGCCCGAGGAGGTGGGAGGCTCCTTCGGTGGCTCACCCGTCTCCGCCTCCCCAGTCGCCTCCTCCGGAGGCAGTGCTGCCCCCAGCCACCCCCACCATCAGCGTACCGAGATGGGGAAACTGGGGGATAATCCTCACCCGGTTCTGGCTGCGGCTCCCCGGAACGAACCTCCCCTCCCCCGCGCCCCACCCCCCCTTCGGTAACACGCACAACTCCACTCGGTCCAGTCCCGGGCTAAGCGCTGGCGAGGAGGAGGCGGCGGCGGCACAACCGAGCCCCACGAGGCTCCGCCTACTCGAACGCGGACTGGCTGCCGGGAGGCACGGGCGGGGGTGTTTAGAACGCGTCGATTGGCCAGCAGGATTATCTTTCACCGTCCCGCCTTCGCAGGGTGGTCTAAAAGGTCGTCCATCAAACTTTGGCCACACCCACAGCCCCCCTTCCACTCCAGTCCCTCTCCCCCAAACCCCCACCCCCAACCTCATTCCCTCCCCACCCCAACCCCCCGCTGGATCTTTCTGGTTATGGCAAATGTGAATTTGGTTGCCCACTACCACCAGCCAGTGGTTGCTACCTACGGGCACAGGAGGTGAAAGTAGAAGCTATAGCAAATGGGAATGGGGCTAAGGGGCCATTCTCTCTTTACCCAGGCCTGGGCACTCAATGTTGTGCAGCAACTGCAGCAGCTAAAGAACTCTCCCTACAGGAATAACTGGGGAAAGACACCAACAGCCCAGATGCCCCCAAACCCTCTTCCCCACCCCCACTCCAGTATCCCTCACGCCCCCGGAGAAGGGGCAAGAAGTGGACAAGAGGTGACATTGGGGTGCCAGGCTAAAGGGCAGGGATGGGGTAAAACTCTTAAAGCCTCTTGAGGGAAGGAGAGGCTCGCTCACTCTAACCCTCTTCTCTCCACCCCACCCCCCTGGGGAATACCCCCCTTACCTCCCCCCCTTGTTATGGCTGCAGGAGGAGGAGACGCCGTCCTCCATTTTGTCGGAAGCTGCTGTGGGAACTTGGGACCAATTCAAAACCAAACCCAGTGGGGCTAAAGCCACTTCCCCCTGCTAAGCCCCAGCCTGGACCGGTCGTTCGACCATGGGGGCATCCTCTGCCTCGAGCATGTGGAGGTGAAAGGCTAGAGGAAGCAAGAGGGGCTGGAGAAGGAGGTGAGAGATCAAGTCGCTCCTCCCCGCCTCCATCAACCAAAATGGAGGAAGCTACGGACTCCCCTAGAGCCTGGACTCCCGCTTGTTGGAGGGGCAGGAGCTTTCCCCTCGGTCTGTCACAAGACGGTGCCGCTCCCTCCGCCCCTGCAGCCTCCTCGCCTCCTCGCCTCCTCCGCCTCCCCCATCCTCAGGCGGCCGTCTCAACAGCCTTCCACCACTTCTAGTCGTCCAAGGTTGGCTACAGCTCCAGCCTCCATGCTCCTCCATGGCCGGAGGCGGGGCGGCCACCAGGTCCCCTGGGCACGACCAATGCTCCGGGGGCCCCCTCTGCCCCTCCCTGCCCGCCCCCGGGCCTAGGGCAACCGGAGGCCCCACGAGTTCCGCGCCCGGTATCCGTCTGATGCCGGCGGAATGGTGGTGCTCCATTTCCGAGGCTCCGGCGTGCTCTGCGAGAGGAGCGCTCGCGAGGGCGCCGCAGCCCGGCCCGAGCAGGAGCCCGGGGGCTGGAAATGAAGGCTGGGCGGGCGAGGAGAGGCCGAGGAGGCCGCTCGCCCGCCTGCAAGCTTAGCATTGTCTGTCTAATCGCGGGTGCCAAAGCGCCCCCGCGACTGAACGCCCCGACTCGAGGCCGGGCGAGCACGAAGTTTTTAATGAAGTTAATCATCCTTGAAGGGCGCTGCAAGACTGATGCATAAGCCTTCCTAATAGATTAAATTTAGAGAGTAATTTGGTAGAAATTGAAAATTTCTTATATTAAATTATACTGGGCTGGTTAGTCATATTGGAAAAAAAAATGAGCAAGTCCTTCTACCTGGGATTTAAGGTCTTAAGTGTGAACCTTTTTTTTTTTAATAAAATAAGCACCACTTGTGTGACCCTGGGCAAGTCACTTTTCTCAACCTCCATTTCCTCACCTGTAAAAGAGGTATAACTGTACTCACTTTAGGGGGATCAAATGAGCTAACATTTTGTAAAAGAACTTTGCAAACCCTAAGCCTATATAAATGTTATTAATCTTATTATAAGCTGTTATCAGAGCCCTACATAACTCAGTCCCCTCCTACCTTTCCACTCTTCTTACACCTTACTTCTCTAAAGTATACTCTTCAATCCAGGGACACTGGCCTCCTGGGCTGTTCCACCACCAAGACTCTTCATCTCTTGGCTATGATCTACATCTCTGGCTATCCCCCGTGTCTGGAATGCTCTCTCCTCTGCTCTACCACCTTCCCTAGCTTCCTTTAAGTCCCAACTAAAATGCCACTTCCTAGAGTAAAGCCTTCTTGATTTGTTTGCCTGTTGTTCCACCATCACCACCCACCATTAGATTGTAAGCTCCTTGAAGGCAAGGACTGTTTTTTGCTTCTTTTTTTCATCCCTAGCATTTAGCACTGTGCCTGGCACACAGGAAGTGCTTAATAAATGTGTAATGAATTTAACTGAATTATCAAAATAGACCTTTACTAATAGTTCATAGCACTATTCTCAACAGGATTCTTTTTAAAGATGATTTTATTCCATGGTTGCATTCAAGCTTATAATTCTTTCAATACCATGTTATTGAAACTGATATACTTTCTGCACTTCTGTTCTGATAAACCTAATGTCACCAATCACCATTAAAGTTCCCTTCCCCACCCCTAACCTCATTACTTGAAGTAAATAAATAAATTAAGCAAAAGTTGAACCAGTATTATAATGAGTGTAGAAAATGACACCATCCTTAGTTGGTAATAGTCAGCAATCCACTGAATTTAGAGTGAGAGAGTCTCTGATAAGAAAGCATTTGGAATTGAGTTTCTCAAAGATCTGAATAGGTATCTTAGAGTCAGCTACCATATGCTGCTGGCTTTTAAGCATGTAATTTAAAGCTCTCTTTTACTTCTCTCCTTCTCAGGCTTCCTTACCACAGTCCAAGACTGGAAAAGTAAAAGGAAATAATATACTATTTGACTTGAAAAGGACAAAGGACATAAGGTCCAGTTCTATTTGCCCATGAATACCTTTTACATAATCCTGAAAGCAGACATGGCATCAGGAAACCTAGAAAAATGTTTCCCCCCTCCCCACAAAGAAAGAAGAATGTTTTCATATAATGCTGAATATTGAATTTAGTTACTTTAAATTTTATATGAGCCCATCACTAAAGGAGTATTTACAAGAGCATACCAAGTGCTATACCTATGATACAGAAAAATCACAGAAACTGGAAGTTAGTAGTGCTTATTATGCTTTTTCAAAATCTTCATTTCATATTTTCCCATTAAAATTAAACTTTTGTATGTTACATATATACATATATATACATACACACACACACACACACACACACACACATAATTTGAAAATGAAATGCTGGGTAGATTTCAGAAAAAAATTGCAAAGACACATGAACTGATGCTGAGTGAAGTGAGCAGAACCAGAACACTATACTCGGTAATAGCAACATTGTGCAATGATCAACTATGACAGATACAGCTCTTCTCAGCAATGCAATGATCTAAGACAATTCCAAAAGACTCATGTTGGAAAATGCTATGCACACCCAGAGAAAGGACTGATGGAGTCTGAATACAGATAGAAGCATACTATTTTCACTTTCTCTGGGGTTTTTTTTGGGGGGAGGGTTCCCTTTTATTCTTTTTCTTCTTTTACAACATGACTGATGTGGATATTTAGCACAACTGCATATATATAACCTGTATCAGACTGCTTGCTGTCATGGAGAGGGGCGAGGACAGGGAGGGAGGGAGAAAAATTTAGAATTCAAGAACTTATAAAAAATGAATGTCGAAAATTATCTTTACATGTAACTGGAAAAAAATAAAACACTACTTATTTTAAAAAAAGAAAATGAAATGCTCAATACCACAAGGAAATTTTGTGCCATGCACCAAAGGTATGTATACTTGAAACATGTGACTAAAGGAACTGTCTTCCAACTACACTAATGATATTGAAAAGCTTAATCTTTTGGAAACCAAGAGCTCACCTGCTTTTCAGAATTGCCTTGATGGTGTTTGAAAGAAACAATTTCTAAAATATTACAGATAGAACCTAAACCATATTTAACTTTCAAAGTCAAAATTAAAACTTTGAAAAGCAGAAATAAGGAGACTCTGCAGCAGCACACAGCATTCCTATAATTCATAAGTGAGTGTTCAGTGATTCATAAGTAAGTGAGAATAATATTTCACCTAATTCCCTAAGAATGCATCACTAGGAAACCAATACATGGACTTGGACCCAATAAAGAAGAGACTAGAAAATTTACCCAATCTAGGATAAAAAGAGAAAACCCCACAAAAATTTTCAGTCATTAAAAGTAATCATGTTCTGCCAACAAACATTAAGCATTTACCGCATGCAAGATGTTGGGCTATGGATTAGGGATGCAAAACTCGATATGAAAAGTAATTTTTTTCCTTAAACCCAAATCTGACCATATACTCTTTTTTCTCAGCTCCAAATGACTTACTATTTCTCTAGATCAAGTATATAAACTTTTCTGTTCAGCATTTAAAATCCTACAAAACCTTACCCTAACAAATCTTTCTAACCTCAGTGAGGACTGCTTCCCCTTCCCACACTCTTAATATCTGGTAAAATTAGCTTTTTTCTCTCTGTTCCTTGATCACAACACCCTATCCCCCTGCCCCTCTACCTCTGCACTGGTTGCCCTCCCTAGCTGGTAAGGCACTCCCTTCTTACTTCCCCCCCCTCAGAGTCTCTCTCTTCTTTTAATTTGCAGTTCAGGCACCATTTTCTGCATGAAGCCTTCCCTAATCACCCCAAATACTAGTGCCCTTCCTCCCACTATATCTTGTATTTGACTACTTTGTGTGTTCATATGTATTAATTTCATCTATACTGTATGTATTTTATATGTACTCGTCTCTTCCATTAGAATGTAAGTTCATTGAAGTAACAGCTAATAGCATTTACATAGCATGTTAAGGCTTGCAAAGCACTTTACAAATATCTCATTTCATCCCCACAACTACCCTGTTATTATCCCCAATTTA